AGGCGATAAATAGTTATCGGTCGTTAAGAATCACTGTAGAGTTAAAAATCTGTAGTCACAGACTCACCAGGTGGTTTCTCAGGTGGAGGCTGGGTAGATAGCTTTGTGTCATTCGTGGCCTTTGTACTTGTAATTCTAGTCTCTTCTCTACTTTTCATCTCAGTTCCAGCGGTTGAAAATTCTGCTGGGATTATTAACAACAACAACAACAGCTTTATTGTATCCTTTATCAAGTTTTTAGTAATGTGGTTAATTATCATCGTGATAATCAGAGGGTACCAGAACTCTGGAATAACTTAGCAGCCAAATTCTGTAGGATACTTTATTAAGTATAACTTCAATGTTTAAAGCAGAGTTACAGCATGGCTAACGTACACACAAACTATGCAGACATAACACACATATAGAACATACGATTATAATAGTATTTAACAATCTTCGAAGATCAAACCCTACAAACCCCTTAGTGCAATCAATTAATTATTAACTATTATTAACATTTTATGATAAAACCAGTTATAGAGAGTATCATCAGCGCAATGAAAGATAGTGTTCCTTAAGAAGTAACTCAAACTGTGGAAAAGACGCAGTTTTAGTCTGTTCATTGATTGAATTCCAGGTCAAAGGCGTTTGAAATCATACATTAAATTTACCATAATTAGTTCTAACACTGGGAATGTAACATGACCGTTTGTATGCGGATCTTGTATTGTGTTGATGACTCTCGCTTACCATAGAATGAATTCAATCGAAAACATCAAAAAAATTTCTATTTTATGTAAAATTAATGTAACATCAGCGAGAAAATGTAAGTTATCAGTACAACGCGCCAGTGGTGAATTACTTTGACGAGGCTATCAGTTTTTTCTGTTAACGTATACTCACTTGATCTACAAATTGTGCCATTCTTCTGCGTCACATATCCATCTCTACAATGACAAATGTAGTTTCCAGGAGTGTTAACACACCAATGAGGGCATCCACCATTTCTATCTCTACATTCGTCAATGTCTGAAAAAGGGATAAAAAGAAACGAGAGAAAGCAAAAAAATACTTGCGACATATTTTATGTTGTGTGAAATATGAGCGAATACTCTCCAGGGTAAGTTTAAGGGTTGATAATTTGTATATGTACGGATTTGAAAGCGGATTACTGCATTAGAGTCACACTGCTTAACCGCCTCCCGGTTAGCTCAATTGGTTAGAGCGCCGGATTGTGTTGTGCGGGAGGTCGAGGGTTCGAGCCCCGGCTGGACCAATACTCATGGTCTTAAAATAAGTGAGGAGAATTTTCTACCTTTCTATAATATCAGGAAATGGATAGATATTCTAGTCTTCTCGGATAAGGACGAATAAACCGTAGGTCCCGTCTCCTGCAGGGTTGGGGTAGGAGACGTTAATTTCCCATGCACGAGATCACTGTGTGGCGGATGTCCTCCCATTGGTGGGATGGGTGGGTGTTGGCCCTGAAAAGCCCCTATGGGGATGTGGTCAGTTAACCTATGTATGTATGTATGTATGTATGTATGTATGTATGTATGTACTGCTCTTGCCTATCTGAAAAAAGCGTAGTTGACATTTTGATTCAGGCAAAAGCCGGAAAAAGTTTTAAAGAAGCTGCGTTGCCCGCGCAGATATCAAATGTCATGGTGTGCATCGATATTACAGTCAAGTGTAGTATTTTAGTTAATACTTTTAAACATTGTTAGATTAGTCGTTAACATGGTAATGCGCAATTTAAAAATTTACATTGATAATTGTACATTAAAAAATTCAATGGATTATGATATTATCATTATTATTATTATTATTATTATTATTATTATTATCGTTTACATGTACCTTGCCAGTTCACACGAACAATTTTGTTACGGATGTAGTGAATGGGATGTATCGCATCTATATTTGATAGAATCTCAGGAAAAGGAATCCTTTTACCAAAGAGAGTTGAAATCTCAAAGAATGGTTGTAAAAGGTGTTGGACTGATGATTAATACCTTCGCATTTTTTCTGTCCTTTTGTTGCTGTAAAGCCCTTCCTGCAAGAACATTTATAACTTCCTGGGACATTGATACACGGTTGACCGCTACAGACATTATAATTGTTACACTCGTTGGCATCTGAAAGAGAAATCAGGTTGATTGTTAAGGAGACCAAGGAACGGACAAAGTGTTGAACGTCAATAAACTTTAAGAAAAGTATCATTGCTTATAGCTAACCTTTAACACAAATATAGCATCCTCGAGCAGAACACTCCCTTCCATACCAGTATATGCTTTTACTTGGATGTATTTCTGTGCAGTTTTTATCCAAACGATCGTTCATTGGCTCCTTTCTGTGCCATTTTGTGTACTTAGGCACCACATTGAAATCGTCCAACCATACCCATCGGGACAAATTTTTGGAATTTCGGCGGAGTCCTATCCAGGTTCCTTCGGTCAAACAACGGGAACTCGAATAACGTGAAGCGATAAAAGCGTTTTGTTCGTCTGAAGTTACTTTCACGAGATCTCCCCCAGTCTCCTTACAGCGCTGCCGCGCGTTGAGCCACGTGGTAGTGTCGTTGGAGAAGAAATAGCAGTATCCCGCTAAATACGACCAACGTTTTGGACAAGCGTTCCCTAACAAAAAAAAGATGTTTACATAGTCAAAGAAAAAATAAATGCAATGACTATTAGCCCAGTGGAAAGAATTAGCCAAGAGATTAAATTCTCTTGAATCAACCTAACCTTTTGAGGTGCATAACCAAAGTATTTTTTTTTAAATCATTTTTTACAATCTACAAATTTTGGTAAAGAAATTTACAAGCACCCAGCCTTTAAAAGTGGGTTTGAAGAAATGATGTGCATATTTACATGAGCAAAAGAGTTTGCTGGTCAAGGTTTGAGAGATGGTACATCGAAAACGGAAAGCTCACGCTTTGGAGATAACAAAATTGAGTAGAGAGCGCCTACTTGAGCGGACGTGAATTTCAACCTTAGCTGCCCTTCTGTTTTGAAAAAATTTTATCTTTCATGAAAGAGAATTACCATAAAATTATTGAACAGAATGACAGGCTTTCTCAAAAAGATGAGGCTAAAAATATTCACAATGAAAATATTTTCATCTCTATTTGCCCACGGGTGGTAAAGAGAGGAATGATTGCCAGCATGTAAGTGGTTTAGGTCATGCTGCGCTACGCTTGCTTATCAGGCTCAAGTCAAAAGATGTGACTGATTTTACTTCAGGTCCTCTTTCCTTTTGCGAACAACTGTTTGTCACTTTTTCAATCTGTTTACATGACTAGTTCCCCTTTCGTAATTTCAATTAACGAAGAAATTTCTGGGAAGCTTTTCAATAAATCATACTCAGAAATTAAAACTTGACATAACGAATAGATAATATTTGTTAAGTGAAGGGAGGCGCATTTGTTTATCGCTGGAAATAGATAATTTTTCATTTGCTTTTCAATTCTCACGACATTTCTCCCTCGCCTTTTATGTACATCCCTCGGATTTTACTCGTTAATTGAAAAAAGAGTTATTTATACATCTATGATGGCCTTCGTCATTAACGAAAAAGGAAATTTCACGAAGAAACACGCGCTAGGCGACGATCAGTACTTGTTTGAAATAATTCCATATTCAATTGTCAAAACGTGAATGGAAATGTAATCAGTCTGGCACCATTTGGTCTGCCTCTGCTCTTAAGTACGCTCGTCAAGTATTTTAAGAAGGGGCTATACGAGTCAATGCACTTCAATTATTTGGAAGTAAGCTTCCCTAATTTTTTATAATTATTTTACATCAAATGTGCTGTATAACTGATTCAGTTACTCTGATCTGAGCGAAAACAGTGCTAAGGCAAAAAACCGAGAACATATCCCTATTCTCGTTTATTTTCGTTGTATTTTGTTTTGTTTTTTATTTGTTTTCGCAGACATCTTTTAGACCCATGGGTGCATATTATCATCTTTAACTTTCAGTTACGCCATAAATGGCAGTAAAGAGAAACGCTACGCAAACAGCAGATAAAGCGGAGTCGTAACGCAATCGCGGTACAAAAGAATGATTGACTTTCAAATATAAAATTTTCAACACCGCGGTGAACCATGAGGCATTTTTAATAGGTTTTGGTTTTCCATGTTTTATTTCAACAAATAGTGCGCTCGGAAATTGCTAATTTTTTAAAAAAGGTATTGAAATTCCCAGAAGGAAGTAACTAAACACTTTATGACGAATGTGATTAGAGATAACCACAAGTTATGTATATATACGCTCAACACAGCTGCCCCGCAAAAAAAACTAAGCTAAATGTATTCATGAATCAATCTATTTCTGCTCCTTTTAGCACCCAGTTTTACTCCCAAATTCTGGAAGAAACACTACATATGTAAACAAGTCAACCAATGGGGGAAGTTTCGAGTCAACCGAACTATTTTCTGTTTACTTGGCTTTAAGTTTTGGACAACAGCTTCGCCGAGATTTTCATTTAGCATACGCGTTTTCAGATGATTAGTGTAAATCGATTTGCGTGTCAATAGAAAATTGAACTCATTCCTCCTAATTCGAGGCGTTTAATCTGTATTATATTACAGAAAACCCAAGGGTCTAATTTAAGGTAAAACCCTTAAACCTCGCCTTTTACCTTGAGAGTTTTTCAAAGGTAAGACAAGAGAGACCTATTAGCGCAAACCAAGCCAGTTCTCGCCTTTTGTCGAAGAAAGCGAAAGAACAATTAGTAAAGCGAACGCTCTAAGGACTAAGATTGTTTTTTCTGAGCATTCCAATCAATACAGATAATTACTGTCACAAATGACAAAACTTTCCAACACATTCACAAAATTTACCAAAATTCTTGATAAATCTGAGAGAGTTTTTGATCTACCGATACAATTAAGTCTAAATGATACAATAAGTTATTCAGCGATAACATACGGCGAGAACATTCAGCTTATCCAGTGTTTGTGATTTCATGTTCTGCATATAATTAAATTTCAAGAAGAGAGATGGTAAGTGGTTGTGTGATGTTGTCAGTTTTGATCAAAATATTTTTTATTCGAGAAATTCGTTTTGTCGAAAATTTACTGATCAGTAAATAACATTTGCTGAACAAGATTGTGTGGTAATTCTGCGCGATATTCAAGATTTTGTATATTTTCTTTAGCCACCTGTTCAAGCTTGTTCCGGCCAAACTAGTTACAAAACATATATCGCGAACACAACCTTCTTTCTGGATTAAGTTAGTCATTCTATCAAATGCGTCGGGAAGAAGCATGGAAAACCCATAGTCATATACATAGCGTTTACCTTTTGACAATTTTCGCAGACAAGCTTAGGAAAAATTGAATTGACAGTAAGAATACGCATAATTATGTAAACTACGCTTGTAATCTGGGTCCATATTCTCAACTTCACACTCTTCAGGGTATAATTTTGATTGCCCCTAAAAATATTTACAGCTTTTGATTATTTATTACGAGGGCTATCTCAGCGATATTCCTCGAGAAAGTTTTCAAATTCGTTTACTTCGACTAATAGCCATACCGTGGTGTAATACTGACGAACAGCAGAGGTAATGTTCTATTGCCTACCATCGCCTAACCGGTAAAGTTTTAGCTTTATAACTTTTAAATCGCACCCAAAATATCCAATGCACATTCTGAATCCTTTATACATACCTTGAACTCTACAAAAGGCGTAGAAGACAACGGCAGAAGCAAAAAAGAGGCGAAATCCCTGGGCCGTACAGTGCGACATGACAGCGCCATTCGTGTTTTCCACTTGTGCGACTGCCTTGCGTTGCGCAGGGAAACAAAAGCTCAGTGGGTCGTCGAATGAAATGGCAACAAATTCCAATTTGTCTCCTTAATATAAAACCATTTTAGGATTTGACACGAGCACACTGTTTTCCAAACTTATGCTAATACAATAAATACACTGCGAACAATAACGTTTAGTCGATTACGATCGTAACTGTATACGTACGGGTTAAGATGAGTGAGTTTATTATCAACATAATATTTCTGCGCAACTTATGATCTAATTGAATAAGTCATCAAAACAGCTTTTCCATTTTTTCTAAAACAGCCATTGAAAAGTTGATTTAATCGGGGAACAGTTTCCATTTCGAAGGAACTTTGAAAACAAACCACAAATTTCATTCCGTATTTTGTAATGATTAGACATTGTAAAAGTTTAGGAAATAGCCAATCAAAACGTCTTGATTTTTGCTTTATGTTCCTCAGCTCCCATCGAAAAGTTTAATTTGAAAACGACTGGACGCTCTCGTGTTTTTAAGTACCTGGTGAGCTCTTTTCAGATCCTCGAAGCGGCAAATGAATATTTTTTAAGTTTGCTGTTGTCTCATTATTTTCCCATTGTAATAATTGTGAAGATTTATCGATTTTTGTCACAAAATTGGCGAATTCGATTGGCTTTTACACATAGGTGGCATGACGGTAAATTGAACCGAAGAATACTTTCGTAAAACGACCGGCCAATCGAGATTGACTGTGGCGAGTGGATATTCGACAACAAAATGCAAATTTGCTGATAAATTCACTCTTCTTAGAAACCACGCCAAATTTTAGTTTTAACCAACCGCTGGTAGAGCCAGTTAGTGTTCTTCGAAAGACGAAAAGAGCTAATAAAGGATATTAATCTCGTGTCGATTTCCGAATAGAAATCAGATATATAGGGCTAATGTTTTGCAAATGAAATGTTCATCTTAGTTTATTGCAAAAGTGGAGAAAAAAACCGTAAATAAACTACGTTAAATTTTTCTGTGAAATAATCACAAAACTAAAAGAAAGGATTGGGGCATTTTGAAACTTCATGATTCACATACATAGCAAGGATGTGCGTCAAATCAAAACCAAAGTCACAGTTGGCTACTCTATGGAGTTTGTATTTCGGTCTCTTTGCATCCGAGAACTTCATTACCAAAATATATAGGATACTCTCCTCCAAAAATGCATCACCTTAGCACCTTATAGTTAAGTTAATTCAGCAACGAAGCGGTTCACAACACCGTATTAAAATGTGTTGTATGTTGTAACGTCATTTTTAAGCTTAAAAAAAACTAATTTACCAGGATTTTCGTTACCCAGCCAGCTGGGTGCTTTACTTTGGCCCTTTTAGAATTAATATGTCCTGCCAAGGTAGGCCACACACGGCCATCTCGTTTTAATTTCTCCCTACCCTCCCCTCCCCCCCGCGCTTTATTTCATATTTGTAAAGAAAGTGTCAATTTCAATTCTTTTTCACTTCCATGATTGCAGCGACGAGGTCGTATCTGTAATCGTGCATCACTCTTTCAAATTCTGCTTCCAAACAGAGCAAAAATTTATCGACAATAGCGATCTTCCACTGTTCGCTCATCAGAAAGACCTAAAGACAAGAAAGAAAATAGAAATAATACCCTCTACAAGGAGGGTCTCAGTGAGGTTAACCCCTAGCCGTAAACTGGCCAAAAAATTTACTTTTAGGCTTAAAAATTGACAAATTTTAACCGATAGTCGTTAAAAAAGTTAACGGTAAAAATATTTCTGGTGACAACAATGGAATGAAAATAACCGTTAGCAAGAGCCACATTTTTATCCGCCATGTCCTCTGACCGTAAAAGCCATCACCCTACTGAGATTCTCTTCAAGGGGGACCTACAACCTCGGACAAAACCTGTTGAGACTCATTACAAAAATATCTATTTTTTGCACTCCCCCTGACAAAAATGCTTAACATCGCAAATTCAAAGATTGTTTCCCCCCTCCCCTATTGCAATGTTGTTTGCGGTAACATAAGAAATGCATGCTTGAGCTGTTAAGCCCCAACAACCATTGTACCAGGGGTGGGGAGGGGGGAAAATTTGTTCCTTTTGGAAACGATTGTTGCATGGCGGGAAATTAAAAATTGCATTGAAATGTCTCAACAGTTTTGTCCGGGGTTGTAGAATCATATGGTAATGTCAGACTGCTTCAAGAAATACAATCAACGCAGCTGGATAAGTGAGTCAATTCTTCAATGGTATCCATTTTTGCGTTCAACATTCAATCAATGTTCAAGCCGTGATACTCTCAAAAAAATAAAATCTTCCCGTGACATTCCTTTCTTTTGAGCGAGACAAATTCATATCCACAAACAAAGCTGTAACTTTTAGATTATTAAACAAAGATAATACGTGAAATGATAAAAGATGAAGATAACATGTTGTTAAAAATGTAAAAATCTGCTTTTCAATAACGATTCTTAGTCACTTTTATCCTGACTTATCTGGACTATTAGTTCCGACTAAGCTCTCCAGTGAACCCTTTAACTCCTATGGGTGACCGAGACAGAAATTCTCCTTACAGTAACAACACAATATCAAGTAGACAAGTGATGAGAATAAAGAAAAATATCAATCAGAGGATAAATAGTTGATCCAATACCAAATTCTCGGAACTGACATCATAAGAATTTATGGAAAGGGAGTAAGGAGCATTACTAATGAGATCCTGAAAGTGATAGGGTTAATACCAACACACCTGACAGGAAGGAGGAATTGCCCCAAGCGCGCGTTTCCTCTGTTAGTGATTTGGCGACCTTCTCTGTGTCTCTAGTCAGTCCGAGTCTCCCTCGCAGCCGTTTTTGGTCTCGTCACGCAACGCTTCTCCCCACAAACGGCTGCTCACATTCGAACAACATTCCTTTCCGCTACTTGAACCAATCACTATTTCGGTTACATATGTTGAGAACTGTGCGCGCCAAAGTAGTCTAACCAATCATATTGTTTGTTTCATCTTCGAGTTCAAAGCTTTCAAAATGGTGTCCTTTGAAGAAGCGTTTGATGTTGTTAGTAGTACATTTTGTGGGGAGGAGCGTTGCGTGACGAGACTAAAAACAGCTGCGAGGGAGACTACTAGTCTCCAGGCGCATTTTTTGTATGAGGACAAGGAAATATTTTGATATCTAGTGACACAAGTGACAGTCCGGTCTTCCTCACAGGACTTTCCTCTGATATGAATGGCGACTGCAGCTCTTGTCGTATTCGCATGTAACTAACAAACGTAGTCTCGTCATGAATCTCGTCCTGTGGAGACATTGTGACATTTGGTGTTCATATTTACTGATCAGTTTTGTCATGTACACTCTTTATTTGCCATTCATTCATTAAATACATCTCCTGTTATTATTACATTCCCTGCCTTTCTTCTCTTCTCATTCTTTTAACACCATTAGGCATTATTCAAATTGTCAAATAATCGATAGGATAATGAGTGCAAGAACAATCAAACCACGGTTAGAAACGGTATGGAAATAGCACTAAGAATAGTGGTTTCATTTCAGCTTTTTACGGTCTTCGTTGTGAGTCAAATCATCGTAATTGAGAGAAGCACTGGTCTGAATTCCAGGTTAAAAAGTGCGGTTCACGCCGCGGCAAAACCCTTTGCTTCCACGGTGCCTCTACCTTAATAACAACCGAAAGAAGTGGTAGTGGCTGCCTCTGATGGACTAGTATCGTATCTGATCCACTGTAAAATGAAAAGGGCTGATTCGGCCCCAAAAATGGGTCTCGAAACGGATGAGTCCAGTTTGTCTTTGCATGCTCTGGAGCCAATTTACCCTCACTGAAATGGGGCTGTTTTGGTACCAAATTTGGGGCTAAACTGACCAGCGACGCCTGCAGGTGAAGTGAAAATTGTTCAAGTCTCATATACAGGAATAAACTCCAGCAGCAATGAGTCACTTCTGAGAGCACTATTCATTAGCCTCTTCATTATGACATTTGACAAGCCTGTTGCAATTGTTAAAATTTTGTTGACCCGTTTAGTTTCCGGTGCTGTAGCTATGTACAGACCTAGAGAGTAAACTGTAGCTTCATGTAGACATTAAGCACAACGTCACACACCACACACACAAAAACAATAACGACAATTATTAACCATAACTCGAAATAACGAATATTATGGCCGTTTTTCCGCAAATTCGTTAAATCGAGGTTTTCGATAAAACGAACCCTCGATATAAAGAACCAGTCCCTTGGCTCTTCGTTAAATAGAGGTTCCACTGTGCAATACTTAGTTCTTATTAACCGAGCGAGAGGTCTGTATGGGAGAATCTTGACCGAGGTCGCCAGTACAGACCGAGGTCAAGATTCTCCCATACAGACCGACCAAGCTCGGTTAATAAGATGTTCATTATATAGCTGTCTTATATGCCAATTTTTTATACTCTTTGTACCTTTTTTCTAGACCGGTCTAGATGCCGGTCTTTCTTTCCATTGTTGTTAAAAGAAACGGTTAAAATTCGTCAATTTTTGCGCCTAACGGTTGATTTTATTTTTTCCGTTTTACGGCGAATGGTCAATCCCATTAAGACCCCCCATTCCTCTTCCCCCACCCCTCCCCCCCTAAAAGAGCCTGGCTACGCAGGCTAAGACCCTCAAAGCAATAGCCTGAAGTAAAGTAGGTGTTAACAACGCGCCAGCAAATATTCGAAGGCGTAAAGAAATTTGATATTCTTAAACTCATAGTAAACATGTAGTTGCCAGTGGTTTCTAGAACGAAGGTTACAGACATAATACATTAAGAGCGGAACAACCAATTACAGCGATGAAATAACATAGGAAACACGGATAACACAGGATGACATATGAAACAAGCGAAGATAGGAGACATTACCTGACGATTTGGGAATACGGCGTAAAGAACTAACGTTGGTCGACCTTTAACTAACGAAGTCCTTGCAAATTTTATAACCCGCGCGAATGTGGAGCTATTTATACTATTATACGCTGGGACTGAGGCGAGGCGGGGGATTGGTTTCTACAGTAGGTCTAAACAACCCATTCCTGTTCACTGTGAAGCCCAAAAAGCGCGGATGGTTCAAGCTTCATTTCTTAACTCCCTTCTGACCATAAACAATTATTATTAAATC